AATATATTTTACTTAAAATAAAAGTAATTATTTTGAAAATAACTGATCTAAAATTAATAAATATTATCTCATTAGATCTGTTAAGTTATAAGTAATCTAATAGTAGTTGTATTATGAGAAACAGAGCGATATTAAACTAAGATCATTCATTTTTTATTAATCATATAATATAATGTTATTTAACTATTTTAATTTTCATTTTAACTTTATCTTCAAAGTCAAAATATTTTAACTTTTAGGTTTTTATTTTAATTTCATATATAATTAATACTTTTTTATTTTATGTATTTTGTTTTTGAATAATTATATAAAATATAAACTAATTGATATATATTATTCAAAGCTTAAAATTTAAAGAACTTATTTAATAATTTGAAATCACAAATGAAAATCTTTGGCTATTATTTCTGCTTCTTATTAAAAGTTTATAACTCATTTACTTTCATAAAATAATTGATTTATAATTTTATTAATCAAATATTTAATAAAATAGAGACTAAACCTTATTTTCTGGTTATTATTTGGGAGGCGGTCAGTAGAAAAGGAGGAAATCCAAATTTTGGTCAAAATTTTTTTAATTAGTTTACTTCACTGATCATAATCATGTAAACAAAATTAGCTTAATAACTAAAATTACTAAAATTTTCAGATTTCCTCCTTTTCTACTGACCACCTTCCATTTATTGGAAAATAATTATATAATTTAATTTAAATTTAATTTTAAAAAAAATGCAACATTAGTTTTAATTTATATTAGTTTTTAATTATTTTAGATAGAGATTTTTTTATTTTTAATTTATCTATTTTATATTATATTTAATAAAAATTATACAAAAATATTTTACTTATAAAAATATTGTATAAATTAATAAAATATTAATCATTATTTCTATTAAATTAAATTATAAATATATGAAAGGTTTAATAGGAAAATTGGACTCTAAGCATTTTTTATTAATTAATTTTAATTGCATTTTAATTTTAATAATATTAGATTAAAATTAAAATTTTAATAAAAAATGCTTATAGCTTCATTTTTTAGTAAACCTTTCATATATAAAATTTACTATTACTAAATATAACTATATAATATTATTAATATAAATATTTATCTTTTAATCTAATATAATAATCATATGTTAACAATCATTTATTTATTTTTTTTATAAGTTAAAAAATGCATCTACATTAAGAGAATTAAATGGTAATGAATATTTATTTATTTATTAAGTCAAATAATATTTTAATTATTTATTTTATTTTTTTTAAAAAAAAACTAATTTAATAATTATTGAAACTTAGATTGTAAGCCATTTGTTTAATTTTGATATATTTTACTATAAATCAAAAAAAAACAAATAATTAATTTATAAATTTAAAATTTATTTCAAATAAAAATATTTAAATTATTCAAGCAAAGTATTTTTATAAATTAAAATATTAGTTTTTTTAAATAATAAAAAGATTTAATTAATAATTATATTGTAAATAGATTTATAAAGAATCTATAAAATTGATATACCAAGATTAATCTATAAAATAATCTATATACATATTATTAGAAATATTAAAATAATTAATATTTGATATATTTGGCATATTTAATATAGATATTATTAATTTATTTAATTTATTATTATATGTAATTAAAAATATATAAATACAATAAATTAGAACTTGTAGCAAAAGTTATTTCTATAATTATATATAATTAACAATCTTTTATACATTTTTAGGTAACTGTATACTTTTTTTATCTATTTTTTACTTTTTATTATCTTATTTATTTATTTTTTTATTTTATTATTATATTATTTTAATAAACTCTTTTTTTATTTTACTAAATTAAATACATTGCTTTATAAATTTTAGTAATTATATAAATTTCTTATAAAATATAAGCTAAAAATCTTAAAAAACTAAATATTAATTTATAATTTATTATATTTAATTCTCATACATCTTATATAATTATAATAATTTACCTAATCACACATATTAACAATATTAATTTATATATATTATTACAAATAAACATCTAATTTAAATAAGCTTTATTTTTTATTTTATTTGAATTTATTTTAGAACTAATATTTTTATATTTTATTTAACTCTTTAAAAGAGTTAGATTAGTATCTTATAATAATAACATTTATTTTAAATTTCTGTAAACAATAAACTTTCAAACTAAGGAATTAGTTTAAATTACTAAATTTATTTATACCTTAAAAGATTTTTATTTTTTTTTAGATAATTTTTCTTTTATTTAGGTTAAAATTGATTTTATAATATTTATTTCTTTTCTAATTATCTCTTTCTAAATTTTCATTCTATAATTCTTTATTTCTTAAACTATCTAATAAGTAAATTTGCCTGCAAAATTAAAAAAAATTATTAATTTCTTTATAATTTTTTATAAAATGTTAAATATTAATTTTAATAATATCATTATGAAGTTTACTATTTATTATCAGTGGTGATTAGTATTAGTATTACTTAACTAATAGTAATTAAAGATTGTTATTATCCTATATGATCAAAGATATTTAAAAATTAATAAAATAAAAATTTTTAGTGATAAAAAATTTTAAATTTCTAATTTTTTATTTAATTTAATCCAATAAAAACCATTTTAATTTTAATCTCTATAAAATATTATAAAAAACTTAATTTAATATTAATTTTATTAAATTAGTTTAATAAAATTAAATTGAAATTAATTTAAGTATTTATTTATCATTACATTTAATTTTATATTTTGTATTTACAAAAATTTTTATAAATATTAAATATGCATTATAAATTTTTTTAATTAGTCTTAAATTTAATAAAATCTAACATATTACTTATCAAAATAAATACCGGAAACTTTAATACTTTTGTATTTAGATATTTATTAATAAAAAGAAAAATTTAAAAAGGATGAAATTTTTATATTATATATTAAATATGATTTTTTAGAAAAATAAGTTTGAATTTAATATTATTTCATAAAAAAAAATTTTTTAGATTTTCTTTTTTTACTATAAAGTCTCTATATATTTTTTTATTATTAATAAGAAAATAGACCTTTGCTTTTGTTAATATTTATTATAAAATATTACAAAATAAAAAATAAAAATATAAAAAAAATTAACATTATAATCAAATAAATATCTAACTATATAATTTAATCTGTATTATATATAAATAATAAAACTAAGGTATTTTTCTATATCAAAAAAATTTAATTCTTTCTTCTTTTATTATTTATTTAGCAAAATTATATATACAATTCAAACTATTTTACAATGTAAAAAATGAAAGTATTTATAATTAATATTTTTTAATATTTTACATAATCTATTATTTTTACATAATTTAAAGTGAAATAACTATAATTATTATGTTATGTAACAATAATTACTATTATGTCAAAATACTTTAGATTATATATATAATAAAACCTATTTTAAAAAACTTTTATTAATATAATAGTTTAATAAAATTTAATAAATAATTTAATAATTATGCATAATGTTATTTTTAAGATATAACTTAAAAGTTTAGAAAGTTTTTTGAACTTTTAAAATGATTTTTACTTAAATTTGAAATTTGATTAAAGTTTGAAAAAGTCTAATAGAAGTTTAAGTATATTTATTTGCAAAAATTTTTTATATTATGTTATTTTTTATAATTAAATTATATTTATTAGAATAATTAATCTATTATAAATGCATTTATTTTATATATATATATTTTTATTTAATATTTAAAAATTAATTTATTTAAAAAGTTAACAATATTTATGATAAACAAATAATTTAATCTCTAATATTTTAAAACTTAAAATTATTTAGAAATAATTTAGGGTAACATTTGTAATTATTGTTAAATTTATAAAATATTATTTAATAAACTTGATATATTTTAATATATAAAAATTATATTATTAAATAAGAATTAAAAAAATGTATTTTTTTGAATATTATTAGTGTTAGAATAAAAATTAATTTAAGTGTATTATTTAATAAAAAATTAAAAAATTTTTTTATATATAAATAATTTAAATTATTATTTACTTTTAATATTATATAATGATTTTGTAATTTTATATCTTTCTCTATAAGATACCTATTTTATAAAATTTATTATAAAATATATTGTTCTAATTAAATATTAAATCATTAATGATAAAAGTAAATATAATTAAAAATTGGTAAATTGTTTTGATAATCTAATATTTTATATATTTATAATTTTGAATATATTTAAATTAAAAGTTTAAATTAATTAAGATTATTTTTTTTAAACATTTATTTAAAATTTTTTAAAAATAAATTTAGCAACTAAATAGAATCAGGTTTATTTTAAGTAAATTTCTAATGTTTAGTTTACATTTTTAAATAAACTTTATTATATTAATTATTAAAAGAGATTAAATTAAAAATTCAAGTAATAATAGTAATATTAATTATTAAAAGAGATTAAATTAAAAATTCAAGTAATAATAGTAATAATAATATAAGTAAATTTTAAAGATTAATAAGAACGTTTTTTATGTATAATTGAATTTCAACATTTAGTGCATGTTATACAAAAATAATTGTTTAGAAAGAGATGTAAAATGATGTATTTTATTTACAATTTACCAAATCCGTCAACATTAACAGATAACATGTTAATAATTAAATAAATTTAGTAAGAATCTGATGATCACGTATTTTAAATGTTAGAAACAATCAAAAGCACCGTACATATTTTACTAAGCATATTTGAAATCTAACGCCACCTTTTAATTATTTCCATAACACTGATATAACGAGATCAAAATCAAATTTAATTAATTGAGGAAGGTGAGGTAATTTTGTAATCCAATAAGGTGACCAAACTTTTATGCAAAATGTAGAATGTTTCAGCCATATTACTTTATATATGTAATTATACAAAGATAGGTTAAGTACGCCAAAATTTAACTTATAAAAAGAATTTAGGTTGATTTAACCTGAGACAAAAAAAAAATGAGTAAATTCACAGAAATTAAACCTTGCGAAGAATCAAAATTTAAAAGAGAGTCTACGATTATTTTGAATGTTGGAGGTATAAAGGTATACAAATTAAAAACATTGATCTGAATTATCTGAATTAGTGATTATTAACATGTATATATATATATATATATATATATTTTTAAAAAAAATTTTTTTTTGAATCGTCATATTCAAGTTTGAAACGTATACTTCAACCTTAACTGCATTTCCAGATACTTTTCTCGGAAGGATGTTTCTAGATCGAAATAAGACACTACTTCACCCTCGGAATGACAATGAATATTTTTTTGATCGGAATGGTTATGCCTTTCGATACATTTTAGAATTCTATCGAACTGGAAAACTGCTGTTAACCGAGAAATATTTTGACAAACTCTCATTTGTAACTCGAGAAGAAATTGAGGAGGAAATCGATTATTTCCAAATCCCAACCCTTGATGAAACTACTTTTATATCTAAATCTATGATACATATTGATAAAATTGTTGGTGAAAGGGTGAATGAATTCGTGAAAACTTTTGAGGAGGTTATTTACGAAATGGTTAAAAATTATCGTACTTGTTTTAAGATAAATTTTTATAATTCTTTAAAACATCCCACAAAATGGCTTGAAAATCACGCCGAAAAACGAGATTTCGTTAATTCAGGTTATGATATCATGAAGAATTTCAATAATGAAATCTACAATTATTTTAAAGAAAAATTTGTTAATTTTTCATGGGAGATTAAGGAATTTACTGAATATTTGATAGTTGAAATTAAAGTAGATTACAATTATCCAAATAAGAATATTATCAAACATACGTGTCTTGCGGAATGAATAATTTAAACATTTAAGGAACCGATCAACATCCTAATTTGGATATTGTGCGTCACTACTTATGGTTATATTAATAGACAAATGTAAAAACGATAGTTTACTTTTTTTTGTCAAATCTTATTTTTAATCTTAATTTTTCGTTTTTGTCATTTTTCTTTTTAAAAATATATACATTATTTTTTTTTGAATTATTTTACTAGAATAAAAGAAAAAAAATAAAAAATGTCGAATTCAAATCAAATGGAAATTGATGGTAAAATTACTCATAGTTGTGAAAAAACAATCATATTAAATATTGGTGGTATCAAGGTAAAATTTACAAAGTAAATAATTTTTTTTGTTTTTTTTTTTTTTCTTATAAAAAAAATCAATTATATCTGCAAGTATACAAATTTTTTTAATTATAAAAAATGATATTTAGTATGAAACATTTGCATCGACTTTAACAGCACATCCAACTACATATCTTGGAAACTTATTTGAGATTCATCGATCATCATTAAATGCAACTAAGGGAAATGAATATTTCTTTGATCGAAATGGGTACGCCTTTAGATATATTTTAGAATGGTATCGTACTGGGAAAATATTATTATCAATAGGAACTGATGATTCCAAAAAAGCATATATCACAAGGGAAGAATTAATGGAAGAACTTGAATATTTTCAAATTCCAATGGAAAATTTGAAGGATCGTTATGACAAAAACTTTATTAATAACGCTACTTTAATTCATCGGTTGGCAGCAGAGAAAGTTGATGAATTTATTTCGGCCTTGGAGGAGTTAATACGTGAAGCCATGAGTCAATTTTTAAGTTTTATAGAATTAAGATTTTATAAAAAGAATAGATATATGAAAGAATTTTGGGCTAAAAGCGAATCCATTGGAGTTGCATGTTTATCTAAAATCATGAAACCTTTCAGTGATGTTGCATTTTCTATTTTAAAAAAATTTGGCAAAGAAATTGGTGATTATCTTGAGAAGAATATCGTTGGGATTGCCTGGAAATACGAAATCTGTGATTCTGGCGATAAAGAATTTTGTACTATTAATATAACTATACAAGATGAATATTCGAAACCTGCTATTCTTTCTTATACAAGATTAGCTAAAAAATAAAGTGGAAATTTGTATTAAATAAAAAAGCAATTTAATTTTTTTTTTTAAAAAAAACGTGTTTATAATAGAAAATACTGCGGAAATTGAAAATTTACCGTTGTTTTTTCCCAAAGAAATATATTCGATGTTGCCATAAGTTGTAGAATAAAACAAAAGATAGATGATTTAAATATATTATATAATATAACACGCTAATTAACAAAGGGAGCATCTACCGCTTTGTTAGTCGAAGTGCAAGATTTCATATATTTTATATTTTATTATTTTGGAAAGGCTCATTCATATACACTAAATATAAAGAATACGCGTTTAGTGACAGCTTCCCACATATATTAATATTAATAAAGGAAAACAAAAAAAAAATTTTTCAACGTTTAAAAAAAAAGAAAAATAATAAAAGCATTTTTAGGCGTATAAAAGCTTTTTGATACAAAAAAAAAACTCTGTTACTTTGACAGGTTCGACCTATTAATATAATTTTACGTTTCACAAGTAACTCTCATCATCATATTATATAAAAAAATATTTATTTATTTATCAAAAGTAAATAGTACAAAGGATAAAAAAAAAGGATAAAAAAAAACAAAACACTTTCATATAAGATTACATAATGGTTGAAAATAAAAAGAAAAAAATGAGAACAAAAAGTTATTATTTAATTGTTATATATATATAATAAGATAATCTCTACTGTTCTTGACGTTCTAATAAAACTTCAATGACTCGATCAAGATTTCCTGTATATAAGGTTAACAATTCAAGATATTGATCCTCATCTCGCCAGAATCCCATATCATTGAGAGTTTTAATTTCCTCGTAATAAGGACTCGTTACATCAGGTTCTGTAGGTTCTGTAGATACAATTTGTTCTATAGGTTCCATAGCTAAGGAAAATATATCTGCCTCTTCTCGAGTTTCTTCTCGTACTTCTTCGCGAGCTTCTTCTCGTCTTCCTTCTCGTCTTCCTTCTCTGTGTTCTTCATGATCGCGATGATGACGACGATGACGGGCACCTCCACGACGACGATGTCTTGGAATACTTTGAGATCGATGTCCGCTTCCTCTTACGTTTTGACGCATTTCAAGTGAATCTGTTTCAGGACGTGCTTGACCAGCCCAAGGACAAGGAGTAGATTTTTGTGCTACTGGAAAAGATCCAGGAAGTAGTGGTGTTGAGACTTGGTGAGTATTAAACAAAGGTGGGTGTTCGTCAAAGAAAGGATCATGTCCTCGTTGTTGGCTTTGATCTTGAGATTGACGACGACTGTTAAACAAAGGTGAATGATCGTTAAAGAAATCCATTTCCCGAGATTGAATATTATCTTGAATTTTGCCTTGATCTTGCGATTCTTCTTCTTGTAGGTTATCCTGTGATTGATTATCTTGTATGTATTTTTCGACTAAAGAACGAAGAAATTGATCCATCATATTTCCAGCAAGTTTATGATCCTTTACAACTTGTTTTTTAAATTGATCAAGCATTTTTTGAAATTGTTCAGCAAGTTCGGCTACAGTTACTTGATTATCTTGATCTTGTAACGGTGACGGTTGATTCAGTTCCATTGAAGAAGAAACATAATTTGAAGAAGATTCACCAATTACTTCCTTATGTTTGCCTTTGTCCTCTCTGTCATCTTTTTCTTCGTCATCTTCGTCATCTTTTTCTACGTTTTCTCTGCCAAGAAAATTGATGGTAGATATGAAATTTAAAGAACCAAAGATTCCCCTGTCTTCTTTGTCATCCTTGTCATCCTTGTCATCCTTGTCTTCCTTGTCTTCCTTATCATCCTTGTCTTCTTTGTTTTCTTCTTGAGTAGGTGAGAAATTTAAAGAACCAAATGTTTCATTCTCATCAACCAAGAAAGTCTTTTTGGTTGATGATGTTAATTCGTCATTAAAAAGGGATATGGGTTTAATTATTGAACTTTCTTCTGAACCAATTTTGATAAACTGCGCCTCTTGATTAGTAGTGCTGGTGATATTCTTTTGTGGAACATTGTCAGGATTTTCAGGATTGTCAAGATTGTCAAGATTGTCAGTAAGAGCATTTTGTGGTGGAGTTTTTACACCTTCAAACACCCAAGCTTCGTTATTAGAATCTTCACCATCGCTTGAATCACCAGTTGAAAATTTCAAATCAAATTTGATGTATGGAGCTGATATTTGAGAAGAGAGAACTTCTTGAAATTCTGTATCAGTTGAAAGAGTAATTACATCATCGTCCTCATCAACATAAGAAAGAGTAAAAAAAGTTGATGTAGGGATATTATAAAGACCACGAAGTTTTGCTTCCAAGTCAGTCCAAGTTGCGTTGTGAGTAGGAAGAACAAAACGACGAACCGTATTTTTATGAGTTACTTTAATATTAACCATGTTTATTTTTTTTTCTTTTTTTTCGTTTTCCTTTAGGAAAAAAAAAAAGGTGGTAATTTTTGAAGGGATGAAATGATAGAAAATGCCGTGGGTAAAAAGCTATTTCAACTCTTATTTATACAATAATTTATATACTTCATTGTTATGATTGCCAAGATACCGGAGTTAACCGGATTTTAGTTACATTTAAGTTTAGCCGAATGGAATGATTACAAAACACCTCAAAATGGATTTCCAAAAAGTATGAACGGAATTTTGAAACGTAACCCATAACCCATGGTTAATAAAATATGTATGATGTATGACAATTCGAAAGGAAAACGCACGTGGCCTTATTACGCGACCACTTCTACGTTCGGGGTTTTACTTTTCGTTAGAGAAAATTATTATAAGATTATTCGATTTAATTACGTTTAAGGAAAAAAAAAAATAATATTGTGTTATGTAAAACTTTTTCAAACGTATTTATGATAGATTCTATCGTTTTTGAATGTAGATCGTAAAAATTCTCACGTGGTTCTTGATCATTAAAGGAAAAGCGCAAGCTCTCATTGTAAATTTTTGTATATTTTTTTAATAAGGACATAAATATGTAATGCTTTTTTTTTCATGAGCATAAATAAATATTTCGGCTTTCTTTAACGTATGTTTTTTTAAATAAATACAGTATATTTCAAAAAACATTAACACGTGACGCACAAAGCTGTAACCAATGAATAAAGTCGTTAATTTCAGCCAAAAATGATCTTCTTATATAGAATAAAAAAAAGAACCTAAACCGGATCCGGTCGGGATCTTATGGATGCCTGAATTCAGCAATAAAAAAATAGAAGTCGTAAGCTAGGTGTGTTAAACGACATCTTTTTTTTTTTAATTTAAATAAATCGAATGTATAATAACATTAAAATACATAAAAAAATCCTATTAAAACATCAAACTTACCGTCAAACTACTCGAACCGACTATCTTTATTAACATTCGACCCGATTATTGTGTTACTACAAATTTCATGCAATAAATAAATGAATTATTTCTTATTAAAATTAATCATTCTCCATTTTTTTATAAATATTCGGTACCTCAAACCGAAAACTTTTTTCATACAAAAGATTATTAAACAAAAGGATCATATTTATCATGTCTTCTCCAAAGAAAATTGATATCAGTGAAAATATAAAACGAAGTAATGAACGTACAATCATCCTAAATGTTGGAGGAATCAAGGTAAAGTAGGGGGGGAAAAATAAAAATTAATTGATTCAAAATATTTTTTTACATCAGATGACATCTAACGTTACAATTATTTTTTTTTAAAAAAAAAAAATTTATCGAAATATCTATATGACATATAGTATGAAACGTACGCTTCAACTTTAACTTCACATCCTGATACATTATTGGGGACAATGTTTCAAGATAAAAATCGAGCATTACTTCACCCACAAGCTGAGAATACGTATTTTTTTGACAGGAATGGGTATGCTTTTAGATACATAATGGAATTTTATCGTACCGGTAAATTATTGTTAAGTGAACGTGATAAAGATAAGGTTACTTTTGTTACCCTTGATGAAATTAAAAAAGAAATTAAATATTTTCGTATTCCTGTAACTGAAGATGGTGAAAATGATGAATTTGATGATGATGATTTGATGATCGAAAAACCAACGAACAACAGAAACAAAAATAATGTTCATCATCCTTCCCATGTAATACATAAACATGCTGGAGCTAAAGTTGATCAGTTTATTAATGCTTTGGAGAATTTGATTTGTGAAGCTATGGGTAATTTTGAAGAATGGATCGAATTGAAATTTTTTCCGACCATTCTTGATGTTGAAACTTATTGGAATGAAACGGAACCGACTTTAAAATTCTCTTATATACCTATCATGAAACCTTATGGTGTAATAGGTTATTATATTCTTGAAAAATTTTCTAAAGAGATTCAATCATATTTTGAAAATACAATGCAAAGTATTTCTTTTCAATCCGATCAAGTTACCGGTGAAATAACTCCTACAGGAAATTGTACTAATTATTATAAAATTTCAATCAACATTAAAGATAATTATTATAAAGAAGATATCATAATACATACTAGATTAGACGGTTATAGAGTTAGTTAAAAGATATTGATGTCTTTTCTTCTTTTTTTATAAAATTTACAACATTTTATTTTTGTATATTAATAATCATTCTCAATCTACAATTTAAAATGTATGAAAAATCAAATGATTTTTTTTTTTAAATTAATAATATTATTTAATTTATGTGTATATATATAACATATATAAAAAATATACATATGTATTTATATATATGTGTATATATAATTTTTTCTATAAATAATAATTAATTATGACTACAATATGTAAGTATAAGTTTTATATTATAAAGGTCATTAGCATGTTACAGATCAGGGTGAGTAACAAAATTTTATCATTTTATACAAATCTAAAGTCTTTACATAAAATCATTATAAACCATATCTATATTAATATTATAAAATGCTCAACCTATTTCAATCATAATAACCTCTTTTTATGAACATTCAGCTGCACATTTACTTATTCCTTACCAACTTTCATATTTCCCTTCTCTTTGTTATTCTCACTGGTCATCTTTGCAGTCTTTGCTCCGAATTGTATAGCTCTTTTCCATAAAGAACTTGCATTAAATAATCCTAATTGTCTCGCTACATGACGTAACAAAAGTTTTTCTCCAATCCCTCTTTCATACCTCATATCCACTTTAGTATGCATAGGCAATGAACATAAGAAAGACACAACATTCGATGCGAGATAAGGGAACCTTGATTCTTTAGAGTGTGAAGAAATTATCCTATCATCACGGCCTAAAACAATTCAAAAAAAAAACTTTTTCAAATAAAATTTATATAAATGTATTATATTTATTAATTTAGGTTTCCTTTACCTAAATTTCTGGTTGAGATTCTATCAACATCAAGTTGTATCTAATAAATTATTACTGATAAGATTGAAAACTGTTTGATTTTATTTTTAAAATAAATGAGGAGAAAAATCAGGTACCTCTTCAATTAGTTTTTTCCAACCGCCGTGTCTAAACGCCTCACGGTGTCTTGAATATCCTCCCAACAACTCATCTGCTCCAACTCCTACGAGTATAACTCTAGCTTTACTTTCATAATCAATCATTATCTAATAAAATAAATAAATAAAGGTTTGTTAAAATTAAAATATGGCTTATTATAATAACGAGTTTTTAAAGTTAATAAACCTCCGGATTTTCTGAACTGGAAATTTGACCTGTAAAATAAAAAGGTTAAAGCGTCAATAAACTTCGGTACTTGCAAAGTAGATAAATGAATTTCATCATACAAACCCTTTCCGCGAACTGCAAACCAAAAAGCCATCGCTATGCTCTATTTTATGAAAAAGATAAGTTATAATATATTTTTGTTTATTTATTTCGTGCGACTCCGACTCACCAAATCCATAATTGTATCTGATGGAGCCATCAATTCCGTTACTTCATTCTTGAAAGCACAAGCTTCTTCATATGGAACATTCACTTCTACGAAGTTCCATTTACGATCAGGTGCTATTTTCCTATTTATAAATCAAACGTCGTTTATAAATTATCATGAATAAATAAGTAAAATTCTTCTTGTTACCTCAATTCCTCAACTCCTTGTCTTCCCGTCAACCTATCCGGAACATTATAAATAGAGTTCTTAGGAACTTCATGAGATATCCTTTTCTTTTTATCTTTCTTTGCTTGCTGAATCCTTGGATTTTCAAACCCTACATTCAATAAATCAATCGTTTCTTCCTTTGGAATATATTTATCTGCTAAAACGGCAAGACAGATACAATCTAATCCTCCAGAAAACATGATAGCCACTCGAGCATCCCAAATTGATCTAAGTAATACAAGAGATTTTTTTTTTAAAAAAAAAATCTCCTCATGAATAAATCAAGATTTTAAAGCCTATTATTCACCTTGTACGTGGAATATCTATGACGCGTCGTTTTACGGAATCTCCCAATTCTTCGATTAGTTTATCTATAGCTATTTGGATTTCAGGTGATATGGCTGGAACGAAAGGAGTATTGGATACGTCTAATGGATTAGGCAACTGAGGTAGATCTTCGGGGCTTGGAAAAGTGTCATTGACTCTGCCAAAAGGTAAAGTCTGCCGATTCGAAATAAGTTTGATCAATATATTTCGTTTAAATCATTCAATTTTTGCTGATTTAAATATCTATAGATCCTTGCCAGCACATACGAAGAATCATTGACTGATTCATTTACTTCATGCCATTTGTAATGTGTCAAGAACTCTTCCAAAGGTTCTTTTATGTTAAAATAGAAATGTTAAATTATTATTCGATGATATATTAAATAAATAGAAATGTAAATACCTAAAGAAGCCATTGACAACATTTTATTTAAATCTAAACAGAATGTACCGTTAGCCGGAACTTCTGTAAAATAAGATGATGAAGAAGATGCTTCTGAAGCTCGTGAAATATTACATCCGACAGATGTTAATATAAAATTGTCATCTCCTTCAGAAGGTAAATGCCATAATAAAGATCGTCTTCCCAAGCAATCTCGTCCAAACCATAATTTACGTCTTGAATTCTACATTCAAAGGTTGTTTAGATTATGAGATAATTGAATCGATAATAAAAGAATGTAAGATATAAACCTGCCAGTAAACAATCGCGTATGGTCCTTCAATCTTTTGAAGAATCTCAAGTATCACATCATTTTGATCCTTATCATTTTCAACCTTATGACTCTCTTTCAAAGCTGCAAAGAGATATTTTGTATCATTTTCTCCAGGTGGAACCTAACATATATGAAAGATAACATGATGATTAGCTTTTATATCGAGAAAGTATAAGATTCCTTTGAAAGAGATATTATCTTACCTCAATACCATTAAATATCTCCCCGTTCCATAGTAACACATCTTGTTCATCGTTATCTATCAAAGGTTGTTTATTAACAGTAGGTCCTCGTAAATGTAAAGCTGCGCCGTAAAATATTAAATTGATTATAAATGAAGGGGAAAATTGGATTGATTTAGAGAATTTCCCTTGAATGTCCGGCCCTGTAATTAATTAAATACGAACATAACTTATATTAAACATAACGTAATTAGATTTATAGGAAAAAATATAATTAGATGATGAACATCGATAACCAATCATAAAATTACCACGTTGTTTATTTCGAATAATCAATTGATTCCACAATTCATCGTGGAATGAATCATTTATGGCAGATTTTTGTAATCGAAATAATATGCCACACATCTTATATGAAATATATCAAAATTAGTTAATAATAAATGATATTATAACATTATAATATAAATTCCTATGATAAAAACAATTGATACATATAATTAAGGTTTAAATTCGTTTTTTTTTACATTGAATGCCCAGTTCGAAATTTGACAACTTTAATGATTGATCTGTGTTACATCACCTATAAATGCGCCACGATCATCAACACGCATCTGCCACGATATGGGAGGTGGTCAGTGATTTGAATTATTTAAGCAAATGATTGAGATCAGCCAAGCGGTCGTTCTTTTTGATAATGTTTTGACAAATCATATGATTGTATTGCTAATATAGGAATTTATGACTGTATTCAGCATGATGCAAGAATTTGTATACAGTTTCAAATTAAATATTTGAAAATGGTTGCACGGTCTTTTTTTTCTCATTCTCTATCGTGATTATAATAATCCTTGAAATTATAAACATAAAATTTTTTTCAAGTTTATATGATTTATTTTTTCAATCAAAAATAAGAAAAATCCTTTGATCATGAATATACCTGAAAATGCTTCTAAACTTAATCTGGATGAAATTTATAATAAATTGAAAGGTTGCATTTATGGTAAGTATCTTCTAATATATATGCTACAAGATATATAAAAATAGATAACTGTTATTAAATTGGCCTGATATTTTCTTTAAATAAAGGAGCTGCACTTGGTGATGCCATAGGATTGGCCGCGGAGTTTATGTCAAAAGAAACAGCCAGAAAATTATACGGTATTGGTCCAATAGCATTTGGATCGGAGAAAGGTTATGAATTTCACATTGATCGACATCGAGAAAGGTGGGATGATGGTGATTGGACTGATGACATGGGTAAATTAAAATTAGTAAACTACACTTCCCCGTAATCTATCTAAAGGTATTATAATGTATTCAATCTAGATCAACAGCTTCTTATAATTGATTCATTAACTGCGACAAATGGATTATTGAATTCTCGTGATTTTGCGCGTCGATTGCATAAATGGGTTAAATATGGATATCCGGAACTTGATAACAAGCCTCCTAATGGCATAGGTAAGTTATAAAATCGAAATCAAATAAATGTATGCTTGCTCATAATTCTTTATTAGGATTAACTGTTGGATCCGTGTTGGAACATCCCAAGTTTGAATCTAAACCACATCGTGCAGCGTGGGATGTCTGGGTGAAATTTGATCGAAATATGGCGGCTAACGGAGCATTGATGAGGACTGCGATATTAGGTGTCCCATTCTTTTGGGATGAAAAACAAGTCATAAAACAAACCTTACAAGCAACTAAAGTTACTCATGCAGATCCAAGATGTTGTATATCAAGTATCATCGTAACAATATTAATTTCGAGATTACTAAAAGATGATACGCAAGACATTCTACCTGATCTAGACGATGAAACAAAAGAAGAGATTTTGAAATGGACGCAATCCGGAAATCCAGATAATCGACCAGATTATGATATTGATTTAGAAGATCCTCCATCGGAAACTCCATCGCGTTCAACTGATAAAGATACAACGAAAAAGAAAAATATATTTGGTAAAGTAATTAATAAAGTTGGTGATTCTTTAAAGGGAAAAAGATCTGAAAAAAAATCTAAATGGTCCAATTATGGAAGAAAAAGTAAAGATCAATCGAAACACAAAACTCGTGAAAGCGCTAAAATTCCTGAAAATCTTCCGCCCGGGATTAATACATTTGGAGCTGATCCTGTGATATTATCATTAACTCGTGCCGTTGTGGATCGTTACAAATTTATTGTCAATTCAACTCCCGTTGAACAACAACCTGATGGACCACAAAAATCACAGGCTCTCAAAGCTGATATTGGTGAAAAGGCACTTTTACAACATTGTTTTCCCGAAAAGTTAACGGCTCTTAAATTAGACGAACAATCTTCTATTGGGTATGTTTATAAATGTCTTGGATCCGCATTATATTGTTTTACAAGGAACTTGAATCAACAACCAGATGAGGGTGAAGCTTTTAAGAAAATTATTACCGAATTAACTTTAGAAGCTGGGTAAATAAAAAAATAATATATTACTTTATATATATATATATATTTGGGGGATTAAAATGTGAAGTTTTATTAACTTTACTAAATAAATTTCAGTGATTCAGATACGAATGCTACAGTTGCTGGAGCTCTGTTAGGTGCTAGAATTGGATTTAAAAAATTACCCAAATCTTGGGTAGAAGGATTAAAATTTAATTCATGGTTAGAAGATAGGGTGAATGGTATTTGGGCTATAATCTCTGGTAAAGAAGATTGGGTTGAAGTTGACGATGAAATTTTACAAAGTTAATTCAATAATTTCTCATTTTATAACGGAAATGAATGTATTGTAAAATTGTTTGTACTATATAAGATTGAGTTTTAAAGTAATGTTTTTTCCTAATTTAGTTACCAATAAATTATTAATTTCTAGAATTACAAATTTCTATTATGATCTAGTTCAAATTATTATTATTATTATTCTTATTTAAAAAATTTTTTTTAAATAAAAAAAAAAAATTTAATTATCCGGATTTAATGATCTTCTGCTTAATGCTCTTTGCCTTGCGGCTTCAATATCTTCTAATTTCTTTCTTTTCATTTCTTCTTCGTCTATATAATTGCTTTCTTGTTCAATATTATTTGACCCTTCATCATCGACTCCTTTCTCTTGTTTATCTTTATCATCATTTTTATTATCGTCCACACCCAAATTCACAGTTTCCAATTTCTTAAATAATTTCAACTTTTCTTCTATCCATTCTAATTTAACTTTATTAACGACTTTCATCAAAGCTTTACTAGTATATAAAATTGAATGATATATTACCCAATCCAAGCTATCAACTTTAATAACTTTGTTTTCGGGATGTAAAGCTGATAAAGGTGAAATATGTAAAGCCAATAAAGAACTATTAGAATTTATAATTTCACTAGTATATATATTAGCTGAAGCATAATGATAAAATACAGATCTATGTGGATGCTTTTTTGCTAAATGAATAAAATATGATGTAGAAAATGCTTCAAGAATTTTTGTACAATCGTATTTTTTTGTTTCATAATAAGTTTGTTTACTACGTTTTTTTCTATGACCATCATCTTGATTATCCTTTTGTCTACATGAAATAATTGGAATCCTATGTCTTTCCATTAATTCACGTAGTTGATCCCGAACATTTTTTGCCATAGATAAAGCTCTATGATTAAAATATTTATCTCTACACCATTCTCGATTATATCCACTATCTCGATATCCTTCAAAAACTTGGAGTAATGTCATATAATCTCCTGAAGGATGATAAAATACTTTTCTTCTTTCATCCGCCTCAAATAACCTTTCTTCATCTCTCGGTGTGATAAATATTTCTTCAACTGATAACATTGCTACAATCGTTGAAACTTCCCTACTACAATCAAAATGTCTCGCACTTGCTATTAAAACCCTTGATAAAAATGGATTTAAAGGAAATATACACATTTCATCTCCTAATGATGTTAACATTCCTTTTTCATCAATTGCCTCTAATAAAAAGAGTTGTTTTAAGGCGTTCTTAACAAGCATTGGATCAGGAGGATCAATAAATTCAAAATGAAGAATATCTTTGATTCCCATTTTCTTTAAACTTAACACTGTGCCAAGTAAACTACTCCTTTGAATTTCCGGCACTGTATCAACTTCCAATTGTTCAAATGACTCTCTACTATATAATCTAAATGCTTTTCCTGGTGCAGTTCTTCCTGCACGACCAGCTCTTTGTGTTGCTGCAGCTTGTGATATTGGCACAACTAAAAGT